ACATTTTCTCTATTGTGTTGTTTAAACTATTTTAACCATTTTTACTTCCCATGAAATAATAGTAATTTTTAAAGGACATTGAATCAAACCATATATTAGACATACGAATGGCATTTTTATTTGCTATCGTTCAAAAGGAAAACTCAAATGTTACAAGATGGTAATTATTTCTATGTTTAGTTCATTTCCTGTAAGAAATAAGGTGTTAAAGAAATAATACCAAACGGTTTTTGGGGGTTTAAGAGGCATAATAATCAACAAATGAAGAAAGAGTAAATAATACCCTTCAATGTCCTTGGCTTTAAATAAACGTATCGTTCAACGATTTGCCAATCGTTAATCCAGTAGATATTCTTATGCAAATATAAACTTTTCAATATCAGCCTAGCAAAGGTAATTAGGTCTAATCTAACCGCATTAAACAAATCAACATTGCTATATTGTAACCACTATTCTGTTCAACGAAATCAACATCCTACATATTAACCTAAACTTTATGTTTTATGATCGGGGTTAACATAAAATATTGTTTCCTAGGGATAATAGGTTTTGAGATATTTTAAGCCCCTCTGTCGATCCTGGCATGTTTCTCAGCACCGAATCATCGCGCGCGATTTATTTTTCTCATCTTCCAACACTGAGTGGATTATTCTAAGACTGAAGCCTTGGAAGAGCAAGAATGAAAAGTAATATCTCTATATTGCAGCTCCCACGTCACGAGTGCCTCTTGATGAAATTAATATACATTTTGAAAAGTACTTAGTTTTACCACGTGGTTGCTCATGGTTTGATAATGATAAAACTAAACGATATTATTTGTAACCACTAAAATGCAGTATAGTTTATTTAAGTGTTTTTCACTATTGGCCTTATATTTAATGGTTTAAGTTTTAGATTTTTTTCGTCTTTATTTTGGTGGGATTGTACCACACCCAGGGTAGTGACGGCAAGATGATGTTTTTTTTTCTCGACCTAATCGGCGTGAACTGGTCGGAATTGTACCCCTTAATAAAACAATGTAAACGAGCGATTTGATCAAATCCATCACCATAAAAAAAACTGAAGCGGGAGAAGTTGTGCATAACACATTGAGGGTGTGTTGCCTCGTGGTTAGCGTCTCAGACTTCAGTGCGGCAGAGACATGTTTCAATTCCCGATACACACACAACACACACATGAGTTTGGACCGCTTTCCCAAAGCGTTTAAGTACCCTCTCCTGTAATGTCACTAGCTTATACATCAAGAAAAAATTTCTCATTGAAAGACAAATTCTCCACTATTTTGTATATAGAAAACGAAGAATAGATGTTGGTTATTTCATGAGGAAAGCGATTTTTAGGTGAACCGACTGCTCATTGTTAAAAACCATTGATGATTTATCAGGATTTTAACCCATGACTCCTGGACCGAATCCAGGACCCCTACATTAGCCGCCTCGATACTATTGACAATCCTGATACTATAAGAGTGTTTACTGTGAGCTAAAATGAAAATCTTGTACAATGGATGATTTAGGAAACATTGTTCTTGTGTGAAAGGTAATTCAGTTATCCTAAGGAAAGGCGTCTATGTGGCGTATACAAACAACTGAGCCCTCAATACGTCTCTCTCTTTCTACGCGATCGCGTTTGGAATCTTAAACGGATACACTTCTTCAACCTTTACAACTTAAATACATTCATCACGTGGGCGTTTTACGCAAGCATTTAAAGTAGATGAAAATTGCATTTTCACAAAAAACAAGTTCGCGAAGTGTGATAACATGAAGAGAATTGTACATTGTTAACATTTAAAGTTACTTAAAGAAGTATTGCAGAAGTTAAACTTATGGATTAGTAAATGGATTTGTGGTTTTACGTTAGCTAAAATAGCAACGAACGATAACCTAATACATTGAGAATCGTAAAAGGAATATTTTTTCTCTATTAATCTTTTTGCAGTGTGTGACAGTGGAGGCTACTATGGGCCAGTCCCACCCTCGGCTGTGTCTGGCCGCCCTGCTACTGTATATATTGTGTTGCAGTGTGTGACAGTGGAGGCTACTATGGGCCAGTCCCACCCTGCTGTGTCTGGCCGCCCTGCTACTGTATATATTGTGTTGCAGTGTGTGACAGTGGAGGCTACTATGGGCCAGTCCCACCCTCTGCTGTGTCTGGCCGCCCTGCTACTGTATATATTGTGTTGCAGTGTGTGACAGTGGAGGCTACTATGGGCCAGTCCCACCCTCTGCTGTGTCTGGCCGCCTTGCTACTGTATATATTGTGTTGCAGTGTGTGACAGTGGAGGCTACTATGGGCCAGTCCCACCCTCTGCTGTGTCTGGCCGCCTTGCTACTGTATATATTGTGTTGCAGTGTGTGACAGTGGAGGCTACTATGGGCCAGTCCCACCCTCTGCTGTGTCTGGCCGCCTTGCTACTGTATATATTGTGTTGCAGTGTGTGACAGTGGAGGCTACTATGGGCCAGTCCCACCCTCTGCTGTGTCTGGCCGCCTTGCTACTGTATATATTGTGTTGCAGTGTGTGACAGTGGAGGCTACTATGGGCCAGTCCCACCCTCTGCTGTGTCTGGCCGCCCTGCTACTGTATATATTGTGTTGCAGTGTGTGACAGTGGAGGCTACTATGGGCCAGTCCCACCCTCTGCTGTGTCTGGCCGCCCTGCTACTGTATATATTGTGTTGCAGTGTGTGACAGTGGAGGCTACTATGGGCCAGTCCCACCCTCTGCTGTGTCTGGCCGCCCTGCTACTGTATATATTGTGTTGCAGTGTGTGACAGTGGAGGCTACTATGGGCCAGTCCCACCCTCTGCTGTGTCTGGCCGCCCTGCTACTGTATATATTGTGTTGCAGTGTGTGACAGTGGAGGCTACTATGGGCCAGTCCCACCCTCTGCTGTGTCTGGCCGCCCTGCTACTGTATATATTGTGTTGCAGTGTGTGACAGTGGAGGCTACTATGGGCCAGTCCCACCCTCTGCTGTGTCTGGCCGCCCTGCTACTGTATATATTGTGTTGCAGTGTGTGACAGTGGAGGCTACTATGGGCCAGTCCCACCCTCTGCTGTGTCTGGCCGCCCTGCTACTGTATATATTGTGTTGCAGTGTGTGACAGTGGAGGCTACTATGGGCCAGTCCCACCCTCTGCTGTGTCTGGCCGCCTTGCTACTGTATATATTGTGTTGCAGTGTGTGACAGTGGAGGCTACTATGGGCCAGTCCCACCCTCTGCTGTGTCTGGCCGCCTTGCTACTGTATATATTGTGTTGCAGTGTGTGACAGTGGAGGCTACTATGGGCCAGTCCCACCCTCTGCTGTGTCTGGCCGCCTTGCTACTGTATATATTGTGTTGCAGTGTGTGACAGTGGAGGCTACTATGGGCCAGTCCCACCCTCTGCTGTGTCTGGCCGCCTTGCTACTGTATATATTGTGTTGCAGTGTGTGACAGTGGAGGCTACTATGGGCCAGTCCCACCCTCTGCTGTGTCTGGCCGCCTTGCTACTGTATATATTGTGTTGCAGTGTGTGACAGTGGAGGCTACTATGGGCCAGTCCCACCCTCTGCTGTGTCTGGCCGCCCTGCTACTGTATATATTGTGTTGCAGTGTGTGACAGTGGAGGCTACTATGGGCCAGTCCCACCCTCTGCTGTGTCTGGCCGCCCTGCTACTGTATATATTGTGTTGCAGTGTGTGACAGTGGAGGCTACTATGGGCCAGTCCCACCCTGCTGTGTCTGGCCGCCCTGCTACTGTATATATTGTGTTGCAGTGTGTGACAGTGGAGGCTACTATGGGCCAGTCCCACCCTGCTGTGTCTGGCCGCCCTGCTACTGTATATATTGTGTTGCAGTGTGTGACAGTGGAGGCTACTATGGGCCAGTCCCACCCTGCTGTGTCTGGCCGCCCTGCTACTGTATATATTGTGTTGCAGTGTGTGACAGTGGAGGCTACTATGGGCCAGTCCCACCCTCTGCTGTGTCTGGCCGCCTTGCTACTGTATATATTGTGTTGCAGTGTGTGACAGTGGAGGCTACTATGGGCCAGTCCCACCCTGCTGTGTCTGGCCCCCCTGCTACTGTATATATTGTGTTGCAGTGTGTGACAGTGGAGGCTACTATGGGCCAGTCCCACCCTCTGCTGTGTCTGGCCGCCCTGCTACTGTGTATATTGTGTTGCAGTGTGTGACAGTGGAGGCTACTATGGGCCAGTCCCACCCTCTGCTGTGTCTGGCCGCCCTGCTACTTTATATATTGTGTTGCAGTGTGTGACAGTGGAGGCTACTATGGGCCAGTCCCACCCTCTGCTGTGTCTGGCCGCCCTGCTACTGTATATATTGTGTTGCAGTGTGTGACAGTGGAGGCTACTATGGGCCAGTCCCACCCTCTGCTGTGTCTGGCCGCCCTGCTACTGTATATATTGTGTTGCAGTGTGTGACAGTGGAGGCTACTATGGGCCAGTCCCACCCTCTGCTGTGTCTGGCCGCCCTGCTACTGTATATATTGTGTTGCAGTGTGTGACAGTGGAGGCTACTATGGGCCAGTCCCACCCTCTGCTGTGTCTGGCCGCCCTGCTACTGTATATATTGTGTTGCAGTGTGTGACAGTGGTGGCTACTATGGGCCAGTCCCACCCTCTGCTGTGTCTGGCCGCCCTGCTACTTTATATATTGTGTTGCAGTGTGTGACAGTGGAGGCTACTATGGGCCAGTCCCACCCTCTGCTGTGTCTGGCCGCCCTGCTACTGTATATATTGTGTTGCAGTGTGTGACAGTGGAGGCTACTATGGGCCAGTCCCACCCTCTGCTGTGTCTGGCCGCCCTGCTACTGTATATATTGTGTTGCAGTGTGTGACAGTGGAGGCTACTATGGGCCAGTCCCACCCTGCTGTGTCTGGCCCCCCTGCTACTGTATATATTGTGTTGCAGTGTGTGACAGTGGAGGCTACTATGGGCCAGTCCCACCCTCTGCTGTGTCTGGCCACCCTGCTACTGTATATATTGTGTTGCAGTGTGTGACAGTGGAGGCTACTATGGGCCAGTCCCACCCTCTGCTGTGTCTGGCCGCCCTGCTAGTTGCCACAGCGCTGCCCTCTTCTAGTGGTAAGCCCCTGCAGCCCCTCACCCTGATCAAGAAGTCCGCCGCCGCAGTCTCCGCCGACTACCCTGACTACCAGGTCGGCGTCAAGTACGACGAGTATCCTGTAAGTATAGATTTTTTTTTTTGATTGGTGCGGGGTTACAAGTGTTTAGAGTTCGGGACCTTCTGGGGGAAACTTCTGTATAAAATAAATATGGGAAATTAAAATCCAGCTTAAGGTCCCAAAACACCTGACATTGGTATAGATACTTTTTGGCAGTTGCAATGATAAGAACTACAGTATTACAGGTTTTGCCAGAATATCATATAGTCAAATCCTTTAAATATACTTCCTATACTAATGTGTTTAAAAAGTCAGTCAGTCTTATAATCAGTCAGTCAGTCAGTCTTTAAAAGTCAGTCAGGGCGGGTGAACTATATAACCCCTAACTGTAACTAACTTTCCAAAAGCATTGGCTTATATGAGTGAAACAATACTTTCTTCATATACACATTTGGTATGTTGGAAAACTCTGTTTAATAAACTTATATGGTTGTTTTAATTGTTTAGTTTTAATTAACTCTAGTTAAATAGTCTTGATTGAAAAACCTTTTGCTGGTATACAGCAATTTTATGATACACGAGAGCCTAATTTTCAACTACAATAAAATCACGGAACGGGTTAAGTTTTTGGTAAACTACTACAGCATACTCTCCTGTGTTTCAATAATATTACATTTACGTTTTGTTGATTATGATAATTATTGAATTGTACTGAAATATATTGATTTAACGAACATGTTTGGTTACTTTAAATCATCTATTACATTGTATTCGCACTTCATCGACACATTTCACATATATCCAGCCACTCTAATCCTCTATAATGATAAAATTAAGTTTTGTTTCATGGCTTTATCATTTAGTTTATATTGTAAAATGTTTCTGAATATATATATTAAATATTTTATTTCTCTGACCTTGGCCTTAAGGTAAACCGTAACTCAGTATCTAAGGGGTTTCCTTGGTCGGTCGCAGGGATTTATGTGTTTCCTTATTGCATTCCACGTAAGAGTATGCTGAAAATATTAGACCAAAGTAGCTATTAACATAACTTCTCTGTATTTCATATCAATCTCAACGAAATTTTTGTCATTTTCATCATATGGAAAAAGTGAACTTAATGTGTTTGAAAGCTTATAAGATATTTTAGCACACGAGCTGGTCTTATTGATTCCAAATTCATCACCCTACTGTAGAATATTCAAGAGTCATATTAATTGCAATGCCATTGCAATTTTTCAAACTATATTTTTTACTTGTCTTTGGCTTAAATGTTACCCTTTCAGCCCTGGTCGGAATCGAAATGTTTCCCAAGTCCCACGAGTTTTCCAAAGGGGGACAGGAAAAATACCCCAAATCCCACCTTTCGACATTGGTGGTTCGAAACTGCACTCCTAGATGTCCTTGATAATTAGATTTCATTAAAATGGTCCTGACTAATGAAACAGCTGCTCCTAGTCAGTAACAAAGCTACACAGGTCATCACACACCATTCTACACTCATCCTTCACTCATATTTGGGCTAAAATACACACGTAGCGCCCCCATCTCAAATTAATATCAATATTAATATTAAAAAGGATTGTTTAGATTAAATCAAAAAATTACACTGGAACATATGAAAATGCAGTCTTTACTTTACAATTGAATTAAATTCAAGTAGATAAACATCTTTCCAAGTGTCAGACTTGTTTCCTGCGAGATTCACTCATATTTCATTCTCTCTTGTCACATATGGGACTCCTTTATGCATTGGAACATTGAAGAAAAGCTCTGGAAAAATTACAAAAGCTTACATATGTGTTTTACCTTTGCAAATCTCTCTCCTGGCTGAAATATATCTTATTTTGAATGTGAATTTGTAAAACGATACATTGGTTGATTTTTAATGGCATTCTATAATCGGAAGATGGTGTTGGTAAACTCTTCTTAGTTGGCAAGTTAAAATGGAATGGTAACTCATTTACTGTTAAGTAAATAAGACACAAGTACGGAAAAAGGAGATTGGACCAATCTTTAAACTCGCAAACTGTCCACCGTTCGAATATTGAAACGATCTTTGGTTATTATATTTTTCTAGTATTCGTGGTTATTATTAAAATAGTCACGGATATAATTTTAAAACATTCAGTACACCACTACGTTTCTAGGCGTCTTACAATATAAACTACTATTCCACAAATAATATGTTTGGCAGAAAAAAATCACAAATACAGGTGGTATTAATGTTCTTTTCAATTTATTATAATCAATTTAAATATTTATTTCAACCGAATAAAATTTAAAAATATTCGAGCTAGTTCTTTGTTGATAAAACTGCTGGGAATCCACACGTTTTATTTCCTAGATTAAATTTGGTATGACTGTATGTTGATAAAAATGTGTTCACCAGAATAAATTGTCAATTTTTTTCAGGTGATTGAGTCAATTTACAATCCAACATGAAAATAATAGTTACTGTAGTATGTGCGTCTGTGGTCATGATCTTGTAAATATTCTTTACCACGCTCTGCAAAAACAACGTGTGAAAAACTTCATCCTTCACTAAATGAGTTAGGCAAAGTTTTCTTGTGGGCAGAAGGGAATTCTCAAAACTGTCAGATTGAAGTATGTTTTAAGAACCAAAACTTAAATAGTGAGTTTAAAAGTTGAAAAAACTACCTTTTCTCAGGGGGAATTTAATATCTAAAACAGTCTTGATATCATGTTTATGGCATTGTAAGCCAAAAGCATTACGGGCCAATTCACATGCATACCTAATTTAAGATCAATTTAGTTATCAAAAGTGGCATAAGCATTGATGCGTTTTATAACACATCACTGTTGAACTGCCACTTCATTAAAGCAAATATGTAACATCATTCACAATTATTATTATTTTTTTTAGTCAAATAATGATCTTTAAATTATTTGAAGAACAAAACAAACATTGAACACAACCTGTCACACTCGACATGTTTAATTTAAAACAGAACAAAACAGTTTACTTTGCTCTTTTCTGTGATGACAAGAGCCATTCTCAAAATATATATTTTAATAACGATTATCGGTTACTACATTCAGTAAGAAGGGGTTTTTACATAAAATCATAGAAACCCCTTTATATAATCACTAGAAGAATTTCTACATATTATGTAAAAGTTTCATTTACCATTTTCACCTCAGTAAAAAAGTACGGCAAATAAATAAAGCAAACAATATCAGTGTAATTTTTTTGAACAAACCTTTTCGTAATATAATGTCAAACGTGGAAAATAGTAATTTTTATATTTAAAGTTATTGAAGACATTTCGCTTGATTATTTTATACTGTAAGGTAGGTGTTCCATACGCATTGTAAATATGACAATAACCTAAAAATTAAAGGTACACCGATTCCTGAAAAAATGTTGAATTTTGAAATTTTTATCATAGACTAAGCAACACAAAGGGACTAACAACCTAAGGGAGTATGTTTTATCTATGTTTGTTAGCACAAATTACACAAGTATAAATATTGTTTTTATGCCAAACCGAAACTTACCATTAAAACTTGTCCTAAGAGAATATATATTACCGAAAAAAAAATAACATTTTCTACAGCTCTTTACCATTAAAAACAAAAACTAATGAAATAATTACCACTGAAAGTTTGGTTTACCATTGAGTTTGGGTACTCCGAAAACAGTAACGCTCTATAGCTGTCATCTCAAGCCTGTGGTTATTGGTTATGCTATCTTTAACGTACTTTTCAACCCCGCGCACCCCTTTAGCCTCTGGCCTGTCGTGGAATTGATTATAAGATGGGGTAAATCTTAGCGTACGACCTACATAAAAGCTGGGGTTGGTTTATAGCCACTGAAACTCCTGTTGAATTTCCCACGTGCAAACAATTTCACACCCGTGTGAATACTTGCTTATTGTAAACAAATTGTAAACTGCACACTCAGCTACTAAGCTTCTCCTTAGAAAATTACGTTTTGGAATTAGTTTTCAGGTTGCAATGCGTAGGACTAACTATTTGCTTGGTGCTCTAATAGGAATATTCTGTGTAATTTTCATGCATGCGACCATTGATGTAAATTATTCATTATTGTAAACTATATTGACTATTTAACACCTGAGTAAATATAGCTTTTAGGTGTCATAATTGCAAACGAAGCCCTTCCCGAAGTGTTATGCGATGAATGTTGTTGTTAAATAAATATCATCAACCGTAGGTTCTTTTTTTAATGGACATAATTGAAGCAGTAACAAAATAGCATCGGCTGCGTTTACATGTTTTCTTACTCCCTAAGCATTGGAATTAACACTGTAATTGGTTTGAATTTCGATAAAAATTACTGATATGTTTTACTTGCATGAATATTTCTTTTGGTAAGAAGCTTTACCGATGACTTTGAGAAAAAAAGTTAATTTACAAATTCAAAACTGAACTTTAGCTTGTTATCAACAAATTTGCAATATAATGGTATTTAGTAGTGATTTAGCCAAGCCTCGTAACAAAAATTTACCCCTTATACATTCTTTCTCCAGACATGTTATTCCTTCCAAAATAACACATCTGTGAATGGATCAATCTTACACATTATAGGTCGGCCGCTTAGAAAACGACCTCCTCCAGCATTGGTTTAGCATTAGCGCGCAGGTCGTTTTCTAAGCGGCCGAACTATAGAGGTATTCCTTGTAAGTATAGGATTACATAACATGTGTTTGTGGTGGGGGGAGGGGGTGTTGAAGGTATAGGCTCATGGATTAACCACAACAATACTATTACTCTCCATCAGTGAAATCTTCGTGGATTACTTTAACATCCCAGCATCTCAATTTTGGAATACAGAGTCATTTATTTTATATTTTAATTTTTTTCGTTTATCCCGAAGGATAAACAAACTGGCAGATAATCCTAACAAACAAAATAATGTTCTACAAACTAACGAAATGCAATTTTACTAAGTAAGCATTCAGTATATTGGGTGTAAATGATTCAGCTTTCGTCTAGTTAGAACATTGGTATCAAATGTCCGAACACTGAGTTGTTGTGTGTTTAAACGTGCAAATAAAAGCGATCACAAGATGGCCATTTGGAAAAATTAAAATAAGTCTATAAAATAACGCAAAATTAAAATTTGAGGTATATGTTGTTTAAATATTGTATTATTAATCCTGTACTGACACGAATTATGTAGACTCCGAAACTTCAAGTTATTTATTTATTTATTTATTTAAAAAAAAGAGGTTGGCGGCCTCTTTTAACCTTACCCCCCCGTCCACATAGACTAAGCGCCCGTGCGTGGATCGTTTACAGCAAAGCAAGGAGTGAGCCGGTACAGTACAAAGGTGAACTGTACTGATAAAATGTTATCGGCAGTGACCACGATCCGAACCCACGACATCGCTGCCATGGGCCCGAAGTCCGCGACGCTACCGACTGAGCCACCGACTCAGCTAAACTTACTTAAACTCACTTAGAAGTCCTGACCCAGTTCATTTTTTTTATTAATTTGTCAGTTAAGGGTGCCTTTAGCAACATGTAATTGTTATAAAATAAATCATTAAGACAAAGATAGTTTTTCCCAAATGTGATAAACTTCCTCTAGTATTGTAATGTAAAATAATATGGAAGAAGATCTATTAACACATTATTATTTTTCATCGACTAAAGCCCAACAATATTGCTTAGAACTTTGTTTCCATTTCTTAAAATAGATTACAACCTTTTAAATTTAGGTCTGTTTAGCCGTTTGACATTAATGTTTTACATTATCGTTGAATAATGAAAACCCGGATCCGTCTTTTTCATCAAAGTACAAAGGATTTTCATGTTCACTTTTTGGCTTCTTATCATCGTAAACTTATGAAATTTACTGATCATCTCAATATGGGCTGAATCATAAAGAAAATCCCTTCCTACCTAACATTCATTCACAATTTGTATTTAGATTTTACGTACCAAATACCAGTAGTGCAATAATTTATTAAATCTGTAATTATTGCTAATCTAATGAAATAAAAAAAAATAGCATTCATTTGGAATAGTGTAGGCTAAGTACACTTCCTATATCATCGTACAATCAGGAACTTTTTTGACCCTAGAAAGGTTATTAATTTATAATTATCTTATTTTAAATTTCCCCTATATTATTTTGAATCGTTGTTGAACGCTTATTAGTAACGAAGAAAATAAAAAAACTATAAATTTAAATTCCTATATTATTCTTATGGAAAATAGGTAAACTTTTGCAGTTGACCTTGTTTGCAACAGTCAAAGTTGTTCAGGGTATTTTTCAATCAGAGGAGGACCGCAACTATTTAAACTGTGGGAAACACCAGGTTTGGTATTTTTTTTTTATTATTTCTGCTCAGTAAATAAAATACCCCCGCCGCAGCAAACCTGCCGACTAAGCGAATTTCCATTCGTCTGAATTGATTTTCAGTTAAATATATTTTAATAACATTAGGTTTAACGAGTACCTAGGTTTGCTGCTACAAGGAAACTAATAAAGTGTGTTTTTGAGTAAAATATTGATAGCTTAGTACAAAATAAATAAATTTGCCAAATTTGATCAAAATATATTCATAAACAAGCAAACTACAACATTTGACAATATTCTCCATAAGAATAACATGGGAATTTTAAATTTACAATTTTTTTAATTTTCTCCGTTACTAATATTCGAACAAAAATACTTTTATATACTAAATTATTTGTTTTTTTAAGCTCTTTAAAAAGGTCTAAAGAGAAATTAGAAAATTTTGTGTTTTGAGGGTCAAAAGTGAGAAAAACCAATTTTTACCCCATAAAACCCCCCGTAAAGCCCCGTTCCCATGGTCCGATCGTGCTGGTTCGCGAACTCATTCAAGTTTATCCCGCTTTACACCTTTAAACCAAATTTCATCAAAATCGGACAAAAATTACTCAAGTTATCGCGTTCACGCACGTATATATATATACATATATAAAAATTTGAACGAATAGTGTTTTTGGCCTCTGGGGACATCAAAATGAAAAAGTAAATCGGTCCCGGGTCTAGGTCTTACCGTGCCACCTACGGTAATAGCTACTTCCCTATAGGGAAATTCGCTAAAAGTATGAGCAAATCTATAAACTAACCTAACCTAACCTGCGGTTATTTTTCAGTTTAAAAAGTAGTGGACCTCTTCTGAAAAACCACGTAATTCAACCTTTTTTCATGCATATAATATTGATCCGGGACAACAAACAAAAATTAAATTTGCCGTTATCTATTTATAATGCAGTTTACCTGTGTTTTGTTGTTCGAATCAAATCTGGCAAATTATTTATTTACTAACTTATTATATTTCACTTTGAAACGCTAAATATAACCTTAACTGTAGCAGTAAATCTGAGAACTCGTTAAACCTAATGTTATTTTAATAGGGAAAACCCTACATTTCTAAGGTAGGAAATATTTTAGTGAACCCCCAATCAGGCAAATGCAATTTTACTTAGCCTGTAGGTTTGCTGCAGCGGGGGTATTTAGTTAAACCAATTAATTGGAAAAAATCGTTTGATAACAAGAAACAACCAGTCTACAACAAAACGTCGTTTTGCAATACACTTCAAACTGTTATCAGCTTAACTGAGGCTAAACTATAAGAATAATACATCTATGAAGAGTATTTTTAATAAACGATAGTAAGATCTCCTCTGCACACTTATTGTTACTAGAAATCGTCCAGTGGTCGAAAATTCTACCGAAAATTTGTAATGTACAGACTTCTCTATTTTCGCCCCACTCTGTAAATAAAACAATTGATTGAAATTTGTTCCATTTGTATTGGATTTTCTGTTTATATTCCGTTGTTATTTCCTCACCAAAATGGAAACCCAAAAGGCCTATGTAAATTCTTTTAAAATTTAAAATTATTTTTGTGCTTATTTTTTTCTATTTTAATTTTTATAAAGGGATTCTGCACTTCTACAGGAACATATATTTCTAACAATATGCGTAGATTTTCCCTGCAATGTACACGAGCTGAGAAAAAAGGTTTTAAAGAAACATGCTTGCCTATTAATATAAAGATTCAATGTTTTATCCAGACTTGAGATGGGTCTTGAATCCAGCAAGACAACTACGTCAAGCATCTCTTGTTTCTTATAATTAATAGTTTTACTTATTCAAAAGAAGTTTCTTTAGGTATCAGCTTTTAAAACACATAAAAAATCTAGGAGTGTGTCCTCTTTAAAGGACCTTAATTGGCACAGGCTCTGTCTGCTTTGCGTAAAAATGCTACAGTCTACGCGGACAGAGCTTTGTTCCAAGTGAGACCTTTATGAAAAAATTACATTTTCCTAATTAGGTTTGTTTTCTTTGTTTTTTTATTTTCTGTAAATTTCCTCACCAGGATATCAACCTTAATTATTTTTTTTATAAACAGTTACTGTACATGATTAAAGCTATATTTTACCAAATAACGTTGTACTTTAAAAATGGTCCACACAATATTTTTTAAGAACTCATTTACTTTCTTTCCTATGTTTTACTTTAAATACATTTTATTGTTGGTTATTGAAATACAGCTATTAGTAACTGCCTATGTACTACGAAATTTTAATGTTCTACAAAAATAAACTTATAGAGAATACGGGTTTCTTTATATTGAGGTATAACGTTTGGGATTACGTTTTTATTGTTTGCCATAAACTTAACTTCGCATATTTATGTCGTTTCATTTGATATAAAATTAATACTTTTGACAAATTGGTTGATAAGCGTAAAACAAGGGTTGTACACTATTAGTAAAAGTAATTCATATCGTTAACATTGTGGAATACTCGAACTCTGAGTAACAAGAAGTAACAAAATAAGGTAGAAGTATTTTATTAGTCCTTAGATGTATTTACGTTTCTTGATTTTACACAGTTGGTATATTAGACCTCACATATCAAACAACAAGTTAAATAGCTTAAAAAGTGCTTTAAAATTAATTCTTTTTTGGTTTGGTGAATATTAGTTATTTTAATTTGTAAATAAAATATATTTTGTATGTATTTAAAAATTTCTTTTTTATACTAATGGTTACAGATACTGCGACAAATTTCCTCTTACACAATATGGAATGTTCACAAACGCTGACATTGTTTTTGTGTAGTACGTTATACCTGATTTCATGGGGAGTCTTGGTTACATTAAACTACATTCCAATTTATTTTCATTTATACGTTAGTTAGAGTCAATTCGTTACGTATTTCAGTATTTAAGTCACGTCCAACAAACATGTGAATTTCACTAACGCAATGATAATTGGGTCTTTGCTTAGCTTAAGAGCTTGATGTGGAAATGATTTGGGTTAAAATGGTTTGGATTACCTAAGTAACGCCTACACACATGTGTACAGTTATGGCAAAATTTAACCTTTGTAAATCATGTTGAGTTTACATAAATGAATCTCAGATCAAAATTTTGATTTTAAGATTCATTTTTCTACCCACCTCCTCCTCCTACATCATCTACGATTGATTAACTTCGGTAGCCCAAGATTTTGATTTTTCCCAATTTGATAACTCGGTGTTTTTTTTTATAAATTGGCAAAGAAATGGCGTTATTACAACAATGGAACAGTTTATGATGCTATAAAATTATTTTTTTTATTGGTTTAATTACTTATTTATGCGGTTCTATTGCCATCGGTATGTCACTTGTCCTTAAACATAAAACACGATCTAAAAATCTACAAAAAAATCTTTAAAATATTGTTTATGAAAGTATTCAATTTCCTTTTGTCTGGTAAAGTAATATTCAGCGGTGGTGGTTTTTTTAAAACTGTATATTGAGCGTATTCAGTTTAAGTTACATTAATTTGAATCAAGTGATGGTTAGCTTTCTCGATTAAACATGGGATTTTTTTAACTGATTTGAAACGCAATGTTTATTTTTTTACCTATAACAACCACGTTTAGGTATCTAGGAATTAAATAGGATTTGTCGTAATTTAAATATATACAAGGTAATTGCAGGTCCATTTAGTATCCAACGGTCTCCAGTTTGATCAACTGAAACCAGCCGTTTAATGGTGTTGGGTAAAAAGGCTAATATTTTAATGGTTGTTACAGGTGGTAGTACCAAAGAGAGCTGCTGTGCTGCTAGACAGGATCATGGTGGCACTGCAGAAGGCTGTGGACGAGGACACTCTAGGACCTAGGAAGGTATGATCTATATTTATAAAAGAGGAAGTTTGTATATATATATAATTATATATATATATATATACATATTTGAACGTTATGGACTCCGAAACCGCTCTACAGATTGTAATAACACTTTCAGGCATTATTAAGCATTATTCAAGGATGATTTGTGTGAAGTTTGGAGCAGATCCGTCAAAAGGGCTCCGCCCCAGTGGCTCTGGAGTTTCCCATGTTAACCTTATGAGTACTCATATTTAAATGGAATTAAAGAATCTTAAATTTAAATTTTAAAATGGTTCAACTAAACAATTTCATTCTGTGATCTTCAATAGCATTATAATTTATAATTATTATAATTATTAATTATATATATAATTTGTTACTCGTTAAATTTCTTTATATTTTTATTTCCTTCATTACAAAAACCCATTTCTGGGCGATTGATACATCATAAATAACCAACTAAAACACTTTATTTTATGTTGAAATTTTACAGAATATTAAAACCTTTTACTATTGCCATGTGATGGAATCTAAAATCTGTAAAATTTCATCAGGGTTTAAAAATGTGCTGTGTTTATAAATCCAAACATTACCTTTAATCAACAAATGTTTAAAATTACTATTTTGGTATAACAAAGTATTTAATTGGTTTCCATATTTTAAACAAAACTTTGGTAAACAACTAATTTAAAAAAAAATAGGCAATCCATGGATCATGTAGGCAGACACAAATCTCCAGTATTTATCAAAGCTTAACAAAAATCCCACTAATAACATTTTTCGCAACTCGCTGTTGACTTTGCTTTGTGTTGTAAAGCTTGTGGACATGACTAAAGATCATCAATCTGGCCAGTAAAAGGCAAACAGCAAATTAAATATAACCAGATTGACTCACAAACAATGTTTGTCTTTGTTGTTAGCCTATGCTACCAACATCACACACAAAAATGTTCACTTTTTACAATTTCGGAGTTGTAGCAATTGACCAGGAGGTTTTCAATTGCTTAGGTATTTTGTAATTAATTGTACAGTTTAATTTATTTGTAAGACTTTGTTAAATGTGTTTGGTTATTGATACTGCATGGATATAACCTCTTTTACTAGTTGTTTTCGACCACAGTGTTTGTGTTGTCTTTGGAAACTGTTTGTATTGTGATGTTTTATTTTTCAGTGTTTTTGTTTTTCATTGTTTCCTGATTCTGGTTGTTTTTTATAACAAAAATGAACATAATATTAACTGGATGAAAATAAATATTTGCAATTGATAGATGGATTAGTACCGAAGTACAAGCCATTATATTAAACAGGCATTTTGCTATTAGAATTATTATCATAATTGAAAAAGTGTATTGTATCTATTTCAAAAAATAATACTGTATTTACGTACCTAATGTAAAGATAGTGTTAGTCAAATGTCATCTTTCACGCTTACAACTAAAAGCCTATCTTTCAAGATCGAACCCTTGAATAAATTAATAGAACTTTTTCAATTACAGGAAAGTTGTACTGACTTTAGTGTAGACCTATTTTTTTTTTAGAGCAACATTATTTTCCTTTGAACTCTTATTTTGAGCTACTGAGTGACATAATTTGAACATACATTATTCCAAATAAATACTTTTAAAGAACAAAACATGCCATGATTTTGTATAAATTTATTGTAATTTATGAATTTGCAGTAGGCTATAAAAAAATTAAAAATAAGTAATATCCAGTATTTAAATATTTTACTTTTTATTTAAAAGACGTTTGTTGTCTTAAATCATGAAAATATTTAAGGAACTCTCAGACAAAACGGGAGTGTCCTCAACAGGAGCTACATTTCAGTGTACTCATTTAGTGAAGGGGTAGCTTGAGTTTCTCAGTAAAATAAATTTTAAACCCCAATTTTATCAAGTTTATAGGCTTATCTCAACTGATATTTTGTAATTCAAACATTTCAATTTTGATATAAGTACTCTCGTAATTGAATTTTACTACGTTTTTCATGAATCTTTGATCATTTTATTTTTTTTAAGTAGCAGTTACCACAGCTTTCATTATTAAATGTAGGTTCATGAATAGTGTATTTCTTTTACTTTATGATGCCCAAAAGCTAAAAAACACAACTACAATCTATTATATTATTAAAGTGATACAATCAAATTTTATGTAAACGGTTAAGGCCATTTACCAAATGAAAATATGGGCATATGGCACATCAAAATGAAGCTTAGAGTGTGTAGATTTGCCGAAAAGTATTGATATGGCCGAATTACCCAAGGGCTCTGCCCCACAGGCTGATTTCCAAAGGGCTACGCCTGGCATACTTTCAAAGTTCAAATGATATAATTTATTTATTTAATGAATCAGCTGGTCAGTGCAATGAACTGGTGTTTGTTTATTTACTAGAAAAAGATGTGTGTGATGCTTTATGTAGATTGAGGAGGGTTATGTTTGGTTTTAAAGAAAGGTTGTATAAGTTTTGTTAAGTATTGCTCAAAGTTTTATTTTGTAATTTAAATAGTAAGCTACATGTAAAGAGGCTTGACTAAAATTGAAGAATTATGGTAAAACATGTCATTCATGAAGCATCAATATGAAGAAGTTGATCCTATTGCTACACTTAGGTATGTGTAATATTCTTTTGGATCTATTAACATCAAAAGTAGGGGTTTGAAAGTAGGTTTACACTTTTAATCAGTTTATATTTTCAAATTAAATCATAGTGTTATATATGCTGTGTTGGTTTAACCTATAGTCAATGGTTAAACTTACTGGTTTTAAATTGCCAGCTGTGGTCAATGTTAATATTGTATGCTTACTAATAATTAAAACACATGTTATGAATTTTAAGGAGAGATTGTAAACAAAATAGAGTTGAGTTTATGTTGGCTTTAAAGAAAGGTGTTAGTCAAAATGGTTCAAATAAACTATTGTCACTACTTTCACTAAGTACTCATTATTTTTTTGTCAGTCTAATCGTATTATTGTGGCGCCCAACGTGGGGCATTGGTGGAAGTAATTTATTTGTTGGAAAAGTATAGATTTTATTTGAACCATGGAGGCCTTGTTAAAAAGAAGGAAAGTTTTGAGAAGTACATTTAGTAGAACAGTATATAAGTTTAATGAAGTATGTCAAGAAGAATTTGATAGAGCTAATGCTCTTTATGGCGTAATAGAACAAAGGTAGGTATAATGAGTTACATGAAATTGATTAAGAAGTATTCAATTTAATGCTTGAAGAAAGTACTGATGAAGAAATTGAAGCCGAACTTGCAAAACAGGATGAATATAAGGAGACTTTTGAATCAATCAAATACAAGTTGCGAGTAAGTAACAGACTAGAAGATGAAGCTCGTTCTCTCAGCGATTCTGTAAGTAACAACAGCACTTTAGTACCTAAGCACAACACAGTAAGACTTCCAAAAGTAGAATTGATCAAATTTGGTGGAGATCCGAAGGACTGGCTACATTTCTGGAGTCTTTTTCAAACAATAGATAGGGAACCGGCCCTAAATGCTGCAGAAAAGTTCCAATACTTGTTACAAAGTATGATTCCTAGGTCTAGAGCATATGAAGTAGTAAAGAGTTTTCCACCAACAGCAGATAATTATCCTAAGGCTCTAGAGGAACTTAAAGGTAGATTTGGGCGGGACGGACTTCTAGTACAAGTATATGTTAGGGAGCTGCTAGCTTTGGTACTGAAAAACACAGAACATCGTATGTCTCTGATGCAGTTTTACGACAAATTAGAATGTCAACTACGAGCATTGGAAAGCTTAGAGGTAACAACAGATAAATATGCTTGTGTTTTGTTGCCTTTAGTGGAGTCCTGCTTACCAGATGATCTTCTTAGAGCTTGGCAGAGATGCAGTTTGTCTTCAGATGGAAAAAATAAAGAATCATCAGAAACAGAAGAGCAGACATTGAAGAGATTGCGGCAGTTCATCAAATCAGAAGTTGAAGGTGAAGAAAGAATTGTTTTGGCTAAGACTGGTTACGGTACGAGTAAGAGGGTAAGCCCTTAGAAGTAATATTGATAAAACATCAAACAATATGCCTTCAGCATCTTGCTTGACTAACAAGTCAAAAGAGTTAAATTGTATATTCTGTTCAGAAGCTCACAAAAGTGCAGATTGCCTGCAGGCCAAGAAAATGGATTTTAGTAAAAAGAGACAAATTGTTTTGGATAAAAAAGCTTGTTTTACATGTCTATTTCAGGGACATACATCTAAATTCTGTAGAAGGCCTTTAAAATGTAGTATTTGTTACCGCAAACACCCTACTTTGATGTGTAATAAGGATCAAGGATTGCAAGAACAATCAAACAAGTGCACCGGTAATGAGGTCAAAGATCTATCTAACTTAGGACAAAAAACAAAATCACAGATTTATCTGCAGACATTGAGGGTCAATCTGATCCATGAAGGTTTGATTCGTCCTGTTAGAGCCTTAATTGATACAGGTTCGATGAGATCTTATATTCTTGAGTCCACAGCAGCATCTGAAATTGGTATGTATCCCGAGGGGCAAGAGAGTTTAACTCATTCACTTTTTGGAGGTGTTAAGACGGATGTTGTTTCACATAACACGTTTAAAATCATTCTTGCCAATAGGAATAATGACTATAAGTGTAGGTTCAAGGTTTTAGATCAACCTCTTATAAGTGAAAATATCCCTAGTATTAGGAGAGGTCCAGAACTTAAGGAAATAGAAGCTGCTAACATTGTTCTTTCGGATGTGGCTGAATCAGATGCAAAAATTGAAGTATTAATTGGTGCAGATGTTGCTGGTAAGTTGTTCACAGGTAACAAAGTTCAGCTGAATAGTGGACTTGTCGCAATGGAAACCTTTCTAGGCTGGACATTAATGGGTCGCTTATCTAGTGTTGTGGAAACTGATAACAGTAAGACAGAATGCAATACATCATGTGTTAGTATGTTTTCTTTTAGTGATCCTTCTGAGGATATTTTGATGTTCTGGAAATTAGAGACACTTGGTATTACTGATCCCGTAGAACAGAAGTCAAAAGA